AAGGAGCACAGTGGGATTTTATCCTTGCTGACAGACAAAATTTCTCAGAGAGGAGCATCCTGAGTCAGCAGATGGAAGAGGGGCAAGTCCACTGGCTGTTACCATCCAGGCAGGTGATCAGACAGAGCAGAGCCAAGTCTCTTCATGTCTTATTCCTTGAGTCCAAATAGGGTTTGTGTCCTACAGATATGGAAAAAGGGAACCTCCAAGGAAGGGAAACATTGCAGACTGGGAGAGGTGAGCTGTTAGTCGGGATTTTGAGCCCCTGCACAGTGCTTTTCAGCAACCCTTTGCAAAACCCTACAGAGGATTTCAGAGCTGCTCCTCCTGTTTGGCTGGTGGGAAAGGTCAGCCCAGATAATGGAAAAAGTTTCATCAGCCCAGAGAGCTGAGGTATCATAGGTCTGTCCTCTCACTGCTGGGTCAAATTGGCAGAATGATTAAGAGATTAATTTCCTGGTCTGCCGCAGACTCCTGGAGTGGCCCCTGTGCAAGCAATGTAGATTTTTCTTTACTACTGTGATCTCTCTTTGAAAAATGAAGATAATAGCACATCCAGAATTCCAGGATTAATTAAAGTATGTTATTAAAGGCTGTGACATTTGTTGGGTACATATGCAATACGAGAGAGGAAAAAAATACCACATTGTTGAGCTTGGTGAATTTAAACCATCCGGAACCATAACAAATTTCTTTTTTTAATAAAATAATAACTCAGAAGAAGTGGTCAGAGCTATCAAACATTTATAGAGTGTCTGAGCTCCTGCTCCTGGAGGCAAAATTCCTGTGCAGTGAACAAGATTAAAAGATCAGACTGGAAGAAGTTTGCCTTCAGCAGGAGTGAATTCCCATGGGATAACGGGCAACTAAGCTCCTCTGAGAGAAGACTGGTGGTGGATGAACGTGCTGCTGGGGCTGAATCCTTGGCTGGCAAGTGCTTTGTAGAATTCAGGTTGGTCCAGAAGAGCAGGTGGGGCTGGGTGGGTCAGCAGACTCCTTGAGAGGCACCTTCTCGCAGCCCCCAACAGTCAGATGAGCGATGCAGTGAGAAGGGTTTTCTCCCTCAGGACTGAAGAGTCTCCTTAATCCTATTGATTTCCCTCTCCTTCCAGTTCTTTTGATGTCCCTGCAGCAAACTGGGCAAACAGGGCACTGAGCAGCACGTGCTTCAAAGCCTGGTCGTGCCTTTGCCTCCCTGGGGCCAGCGCTCGTGTTACATTTGGGACTGACAGATCACCAGGCAATAACTGAGCAAAACGGATCTGGAACTGTGGCTTGCAGGTCCCAGGAACCTCAGGAGCGTTAGCTAGCGCCCGTGAATGTGGTATTTCCTGCCTGAGTGAGCAATCCTGCAGCCAAACCATCTCTTAAACCCGGCTGGGTGAGCTCTCCCTGCACCAGGGCTCGGAGCCACACAGAGACAAAACCACTGGCATTTAAAAACCTGGCAGTTCCAGCCTCTTCACTTCTACAGGTACTAGAGCTCTGCAAAATATTCTTCCCTGGATTTTCTAATTAAAGTTTTGACACTGACGGAGGAAGAGCAGCGTGGGTGATTCGCCTGTCCCTGGTCCATCATCCCAGGCCCACTCCAAGGTCCGAACCTACAGCACTTGCCAAGGCTGTCAGGCTTTTCTACGCTCGTCCATCTGCTCACAAAGGCTTTTATCCTGACCCCAGGGCTCTCCATGGTGATGTTTTTGGCCATGCCCGAGACCTTGAGCTGTGAAGTGGCTCCTGGTGCCCCATGGCATGGTGCTGGCTTGGCCCCTGCTCCGGGGTCTGGGCTGCAGGGCTTTGGACAGAATCGGTTTTATTTGCAGGAAAATCCCTCTTGGTTAATTATTTGTTGCTTTAACACCCAGAATAAATGTTCATTACTTTAACTCAGGTAGAAGCAGTTGTTGCAGAAACAGCCAGTGCTGCCATGCCCAGGGCTCGGTGACACTGCCAGGCCCAGCTTCCTCACGTGGTGACTTCTGTGCGGCCCAGGAGGAGGGAAGTCCAGATTTGAGGTCTTTGGGACAGCTTTGCATGCAAAAATTCAGGACCTGGCACTGTCTTTAGGAACAGCCAACTCTGTCCTGGTGACATTTGGAGCTGTCGGAATTGATGCCCCTCACTGCCCTGTGCCGTCATCTGCCCGTCCATCCATCTGTCCCTGGGGTCTCCATGTGTCATTGCAACACAGAGACAAGGCTGGGACCTTCGAATAAAGTCCAACACCCACCTTGTACTTGCAAGGAACCCACTGGCTCTGCTTAGAGGGGGAAAAAAACCCATATTTGGTTCATTTTCACCTCTAAGTGCCTTCAACGCAAATGCCAGAGAGGATACCATAAAATGCTATTTAAGAGCCATTGCTTGTTAAATATGATCGACACAAGTTTTGATTCCCAAACAGAAATAATCCATCTCCTTGGAGGAGACAATGTCCAGCATTTAGGATGTACTTCAGGGATTTTGTATGTGTTTTGGTGGGTTTAGTTTCTGGCTTCAATTGAAGTTTTAGATTAATGGAGAATCACACGTGGCACCAGCTGGTATTTCATGGGAACTGCTGTGCTTTGCCTCTGGGCTATCACTGCTTCCCCAGCTTCACTGAGCTTTGCTTCTGCTTGCACTGCTGCTCCACGTTTTGTTTCCACAGCTGATTTAGTGAAAGGAGAGGAGCAAGTTTTGTTTGCCTGACAGAGCTCTCTTGGAGGCTTTGCAGAGATTATGCTGTCAAATTTTTTTCCCAGGGTAATTTCCAGCCGCGGTGCAGCTTTTTCTCCCCCTCTTTCGTCCTTCCCAAACTTCCCCCAGAGCCACCTGCAATTTATTTGGATTCATCAAAGACATCAGAGCTGGAGAAGAGCAGTATCTGCGATGCCAGTCTCTCCTCCCACCCCATCGGTGCTGCGCTCTGCCAGGCTCGGGGGTGGAAAAGGGAAAAGATTCCAAAGGGGGGGAATTTCACCCCCAAAGGGATGCGGAGCAGAGGGTGAGATGCCACCAGCAACGGCTTTAAAGAAAGGCTGAGGGTGCTCTGTGAGCAGCACAGCCCGAAACCACGGGAGGAGGGATCCCAGCGACGGAGCAAACGACTGTGACAGAGAACAGGATCCGCCGAGTGTGTTTTCTGCCTGCTTAGTTAATATGCAAAATGCCTTGAATGATAAAGAACGGCAACAGTGATTAATTAGGAACACTGCATTTGCATCATCCTTCCCAGGCTCTAAAAGTGCCTTATAAGCACGAACTGGAGCACAGGGTGCTCCCGTGGGATGGAGGGAAGCAGAATGGCCACGGATTGACAGGCAGGGATCAATTTTTGGCT